CTTGGGTCCTTTTTCCTCTTTCTTCTGTCTCTTTGAGGTTTAGACCAATAGACCTTTGGAGTATTTCTGGGGCAAAGAATACTTTGAGGCATGGTTCTAAATTCCTTTCCAGAATGTCTGGACCAGCTCACAATTCTGTGAGCAGTGCATTAATATGATTATTTTTCCCCAGCCCCTCCAGCATTTGTCATTTTCTTTTTTTGACATCTTTGTCAATCTGATGGATGTGAGGTGGTACCTCAGAGTTGTTTAAATTCGTATTTCTCTAATTTTTAATGATTTAGAACATTTCTTCATATGGATATTTTCTTTCTCTGAAAGCTACCTATATCTCTTCTAAAGCTAATCCTTTCTAAAATAATGTAGTTGGGAACCAAGTCTGGATGATAAGGACATATCTGTATCTGTATCTACATTTAGGTACATGTACATGTTACATTCTATTTGTTTGTTACATTCTAGCGACCTTTATTGATTTAGACAGAAATTTGTCCTGGTTTTAGGGGTACAGCATAGAACCATAGGTTTTTAAAACTTAATATGTAAGGCAGTATGTTAGGTGCTGGTCTGATACAAAAACAAAGCAATTTGCCCTCAAGCAGCTTACATTCCACCGAAATGACATCCAGTCTCCAGGGAGCAGCCAGTGACTTAAGATTTAAGTTCTCTTATAATCACAAATGCTTTATTTGTCTGGGATCATGGTAGCATGGTATTCTATTTAATTTTTTTCCCTGAGTATTGTTTTATTTGGTATTTGGGTCTCTCTTTGTCTGAAATAAACCCACAACTCTTTCGGAGCTGCTACTTGCCACTGCCGACATGAGCACAAACCATCTTTTTAGATTGCCACAGACTTCTCCTGGTAGATGTGTTTTTTTATGCTGCATAGGGAAACTTCAGACATTTGAATTTTATCTGGTCCAAGTAGTTCTGTGTATTTCTGCTTATTCATTGTATGATTTGATTTGAGAATGTGTTGGCCAGTCTTCAAACCCGATGAGTTGGATGTGGTATTGTTTGGTAAGGGAGTAATATTTGTGAGGTGGGGGTAATCTTAGTGGGTCATCTTCTTTGGGAAGGGCACATGCCTATGAAACTTCTTGTCTGCCCTGCCAATCTCTATTCATTCAGTCTCAGGTCCTGGTTAATGCTGAACATAATAGAGTTAGGTATATGTTTCATTTGGACCTATCTCAGTACTGGGGTGAAGGGATGATGAGACTGTTGTATTCTTAGCCACTTCTGGGAATCACAAATTTACGAACATCTGACTTAGGAACATTCAGCTTCATAATTGGCTGTCCGTCTAAAGACTCATCTCATTATTTCAACCACCACATACATAGAACCTTCTCGTCACAAATAGTGGGACCACTTCCTTCTTGGCCACTGCAGAATCAAGGTGAATATCCTCTTCTATTTTTCCTATCTCTATTTCCCCCATTTTCCTGGGTTCTTTTGCTTGGACAAGATGCAGGCTGCTACTGCTTCTTCTTCTACTCATCGCCTGGCATTCCCTTTTCCATATCCCTGACCTTTCCTAGGAACTCTTCTTAGAATCTTAAGACTGCCAGTCCAATTTTCCCTCCCTGATTTTGGGGAACTTCTCCTGCTGTGTATAGTACAGAAAGGGGAAGGAATTGATGAGGTCCTTGTTCCTTATTTAGAGCCCCAAGGTAGAAATCAGGATAGGTTTTCTCAGAAAAACATTGTTGTGAATAGTGGTATATTCCATAATACTTTAGTGTAGTACTATTTTAAGCTTTGTATTGATTAAATATGCTTCTTTGGGCTCACCTTGGGTACCTCAGCATCCTGTATGACTAATTTCATTGGGAAAAATATCCCCTTAGCTCCAAATACCTAACTTACACATTTTTAAATGTCAACATTAACATAACAATAATAATCATTTACATAGCACTTTAAGGTTTATGAAACATTTTATATACATTATTTCATGTGAGATAACATAAGAATTCCTAAGTATATAATGTTAAAAAAAAGTACTGATGGGGAGAGGGGAGGGAGGGAAAGAATCTGGAACTGAAAATTTTTTTTTAAACTTTTTAAAAATTAAAAAAAAAATTTTTTTTGAAAAAAAATTTAAAAGTGTTAAAAATTGTTTTTGCATGTAATTAGGGAAAAATTAAAAAAAATTGTAAAAATAAAAACTACCAATAGGTGGTTTAAAATGCCAAAATTGTCGTATGTGTTACATTGATCACCTGACAAGGTGAGTAATAATAAAAATTCATTAATAACATGCTTTACAGTTTATAAAGTGTTTTCCTTCCAGCCCTGTGAGTTACATAGGTCAAGGGATCATTAAAAAATTCTCACTAATACATTGAAGGTCAGGTGACTTTATTACAATAATATGGTTATCAAAAGCTCAGCCTTGGCAACCCCTGTGTAAATTTAGATGTGCAGGGAAGTTAAGACTTGAAGAAATAATGATTGACCTGTTGGGTAAAAATTAGTTGTATTACATTGGATGGATTTTCCATGACTCAAAACCAGTTGACCTTGTACAAAAAGCTAAACCTTCCTGTGCCTCAGTTTCTTGATATATAATGAGATGGTGGACTAGATGACCGCTGAGTTCCTTCCTTTTCTGAATTAATTGGCTTCATGGAGATTCTGAGGCCTCGTTTTGGCAGAATCATGTTTGAAGTCTTGGGATGAAGAAATACTGAAGAGGCGACAGTAGTAGTTTGGTTTTCTTAAGCCAGTTACCAGCCAGCATGTATTTATTAAATGTACTCTCAGCCACTTTGGGGACACCAGATGTGATCTCTATTTTCTGTTCACTCACAGAGGAGGCAGTATGACAGGGTGGGTAGTGTGGACTTGTAATTAGGAAGACTTCAGTTTGAATTCTCTTTCAGACAGTTACTAGGTGTGTAATCCTGGTAAAGTCACTTTCTCTCTCTGTCTGCTTATGTTTAACAGCGTCTACCTCATAAGGTTGTTGTGAGGATCAAACAGGTGGTATATCTATGTAAAGTCCTTTGTAAACCTTAATGCACTATATAAATGCCAGCCATTAATATGTTGGGCAGCTAGATAGAGTGAATAGAGTCCTGGGCCTGAAGTCAGGAAGACATGAGTTCAGATCTTGCCTCAGTTTACTTTTCTTTAAAATAAGCTAGAGAAGGAAATGGCAAACCACTCTAATATCTTTGCCAAGAAAACCTCAAATGGAGTCATGAAAAGTCAGATATGACTGAACAACAATTATTATTCCCATCATCATCCTTATCATCACTGTCATCATTAATATTATCACAGTCTAATCAGGAAGACAGTACTAGCAAATGGGAAATAATGAGAAAACAAGTGCTGGTGAACTTTGTAATTATAGTGTGAAGCATGGTAGAGGGAGAAGTATGGGCTATAATGGTCAAAGTCAAAGCTTGTGGAAGTGTTTAGAACATTTTGTGGAATAGGGCATTTAAGATCTTGGAATGAGCAGGCAGGAGTTACCATAGCTGTGTATTGGAGACCTGAGATTTATTTTTGGTTGTCCTAGTTCATTTAAAACTCCAAAATGTGTTTGTGCTTAGTCATTTTTCAGTTGTGTCCGATTCTTTGCGACTCCTTTTGGGGTTTTCTTGGGAAAGATGCTAGAGTGGTTTGCCATTTCCTTCTCCAGCTCATTTTATAGGTGAGAAAACTGAGACAGACAGGGTTAAGTGACTTGCTCCGGGTCACATAGCTAGTAATCATCTGAGGCTGGATTTGAACTCGTCTTTCTGACTTGCAGACCTGGCACTTTATCCACTATGCAATCCGGCTGCCTAACGTAAATGAAGTTTAAAATCTCTCCCTGTTTTTTAGATATCAAATGACATGTTGTGTTTCATCTTTTTTATTTGCATTAGTTTTAACACTTTAAAAAATATAATATGTAAAATAATCCTTTCCTGATGTATTGGGTTCACGTATAACCACATCTTTGTGCTAAGGACTTCACTAGGTAGTATTTGAAATAAAAGAAAAGCAGTGGGTACAATTCTTGCTTTCTAGAAACCTGAAATGTAAAACATAGCAGAAACGTTTAGAATGTTAGAAACTGGTCTGGTAACTTTGTGTTGACTTTCAGTATACAAGCAAGCACTGGTCCAAAAGGTTTTGAACCAATGGTGTTATGTTAGAAGCTTTGCAAATGGATATTTCTGCTGACCTTTAACCACTTCCTTATTATTATTCTACTATCATGATAGTTTAAAAAAAAACCTTTTAAAATTCAAGCTCTGAGAAAAAAAGGGTAGAGTTTCTGAAGTTCTAAATTCACAGAATATGCTGTATTTTACCCAGTCAACCTTGTCCACTCATTGTGCGAGTATTTTCCATTCCTAATCCCTGAAAAATATCAGCCTGCTGTAGACAGTCCTTCCTAAAAGATCTTGTAAAGTTTATTTGAGCAATGAAATTCCCTACTTGATTCTTTGCTTCCATTAATTGTTTTTGCATGTGGGTGGTTCATTTTACCTTATTCATCCTGCCCTCCCTGCCCTCCCTCCAAAAAAAACTCAAAAAACCCCCAAAACAACAACAGCGAAACAAATCAACCAACCACCACCACTGTAACAAAAATTAGTTTAGATAGAAAATTTCCTGGTTCAGAGGAATTTTATGAGAGATATTCCTTTGAGAACAGTTTATGCCTTATTATAAAGAAATGGATACATTATCATATCCAAATTACATAGATCTACAGTATCTCTCGGATGCTTTCAGACAGCTTTTTTTCCATTATCTTCTTATCTGACTTTTTCCTTCCCCACGGAGTGAGTTATTACTTTATTTTCCCCTGATAAGTAGCATTCTTTTAATTTAACAAAACATATTGTGTGAAATCTACTTTGATAAAATCTGTTTGCACCAGAAAGCTTTCTGTTGATAGTGAAAAGTTCATCGTATGTTTAAATCTCAAAACAGCCACAAGTATGTTAGGCCTCCTTCTAAGTATTTTGGTCTTTCTTGTTCAGCCACAATTACAAGTTCATCCGAGAACGATGACCGGAGTGGCTCCAGTTTGGAATGGAGTAAAGATGGAAGCTTAAGAATTGGAGTCCAGCAAGGAATTCTTCATGATCGGAGGGCAGATAATTGTTCCCCGGTGGCAGAAGAGGAGACAACCGGATCAACAGAGAGTCTGCCCAAAGCAGAAGGATCTGTTGGAGATGGTCCTGTTCCATACACACAGAACTCCAGCTCCCTAATCATGCCACGGCCTAACTCAGTTGCAGGTAAGATCTTGTCTCCAAGATGAGAGTGTTTTTGTTTTTTGTGAGGGGAGGTGAAGGGTCATAAATACCCTTGACTTTGAAGATTTTGTGTTTTTGTTTCATTCACTGTTGAAGAAGGATGTCATGTGTTAAGGAGAGCCACCGTCAATGAACTGGGGTTCTGAATTCAGTTCTGTAGCTTTTGACCCGTATGACCTTTAGAAAGTCATTTCACCTTTGTAGTGAAATGGTCACCTATTAATGAGGGAGTTGGATTAGATGTTTCCTAAGATCGCCTTCCAGATTTTGCATTCAGTGTTTTAAGAGATTATGAGCCAAGAATATTCCCTTCACAAATTAACATTTTGTACTTTCAATCTAAATGTGGTAGACAGTAAGTATAGTCTGAGACTTTGAACATGTGTGGTGTCATTTTGTATAGTGGAAAGAATAATAGAGGACCCAAGTTCAAATGCTACTTTGTGACCTTGGGCAAATCCATTAACTTCTCTGGGCCTCAGTTTCTTCATCTGTAAAATAAGGGAGCTGGACACAATGGACCCTTTAGGTTCTTTCTGGCTCTAGATTGACGAGTCCATGATTGATAATAAATGAAGTCATTTCTTGAGTTTTTACCATCCTTTGGTTTAGGTAACCTCATAGAAGTAAATTAAGTGTCATTATAACAATTGTGTTAAACCTGTTGTTTTCAGCCAAAGAGAGTCACACTAACATGGATGGTATAAACTCAAATGGGGTTTTTTGGTTATCCAGTCTAACCTTCTAATTTTATACGTGAGGTAACAGAGGCCTAGAGGGAGGACACGCTTTATCCCAGGCTACATAGCTGACAAGTGAGAGAGGCAGGTCCTAAATCAAATCTTCACGTTGTTTCTTCATAATCAGAGCGCATTTTACGGTGAGCTTAGATTTCTAAGTAATACAACTATATAAGTAATACAACTGTTAAGTCAACATTCAGATTGAAAACTCAAGTCATTCAAAATGAAAAACTTTACAAATGAAACATAACTTAGACCTTTCTTTAAACAGATGTGTTGACAAGAGGATAGTAGCTTGAATTAGGTAGAAGTGTAGGTAATAAAGATGTTAGCTATTAATGTTCTGCAGCTAAAAGGTGGGAAAAGTAAAGAGATGTTATTGTATGTTTTAGTGTTGGAAAAGGAACAAAAAAAGAAAACTACTTGTTGGCCATTATTTATAGCTTTATCTGGTGAATTTCTACATTTTGCACTCTTAGGTAGTGTGTTAATAAAGGGATCTGCTTAGGTTTTATTTTTTATTTGTAGTTGATATTTTTCTTGAAATAGCTGTAAGATGAAGGGAGATTTAGTAGATGAGACGCTGGGTTTGGAGTCAGGAAGACTTGTTTAGAATCTTGCCTCTGACACAGTAGCGGTGGGACCATGAGTAAGTCTCTTAACTAGCCTCTCAGGACACTTTGAAAGACCATAGATTATATAGTAGTTGACGCTCTGTAAATGTGGCAGGTTTTTTTTAAGTTTTATTGATGCCTTTTCCTTTTTATGCCATGTTAATTTGCAGATATAGCCCACCTTGAGACAGCCTCCTTCCCTTGTAACAAAGATTTTTTTTTTAAACTTCAGAAAAGCTAACCAACATTGGCCTTGCTTGACAGCATGCACAGCACTCCTGCCCCCAACATCTTTTCATCAGAAAGAGGGAGACTCCTCAGTTCATCCCTTCTGCTGCCAAACTTGTTCTCCGTATCACACCACATACAGTTTTGCTCTCTTGTTCTTTCTGTTTACACTGGTGTAGACTTTGCGTGTGTTGTTTTTGTGGTTCTGCTTACTTCATGAAGTCATTTCATGTAAGCCTTCCCATGAATCCTAGAATGAGGTTTTGTACGAAAAAAACCCTAAACGACTGTGAAATGTGATACTTTGGCTTCACCATAGGATTTAACAGCACTGATCAGAGCAGAATAGCATAGGCAAGAGAAAACCAGTTGTAGAGTTAGGGGGACCTGGGTTCAAGTCCCGCTTCTGACACGTAGGGGCTGTGTGATCCTGGGCAAGTCACTTAAACTCTCAGTATCCCAGGAAACTGTCTTAAAACTGCAGGTTACAGAGCATCAGAAGGTTTTATTCACCAGGAGTTCTCTACTCCAAGGAAATTATAGGTCAGGGACAACAATAATAAAAAATAAAAAATAACAATAAACCTGTAATATTGAGCCACATTTCATAGTGATAGCTTAGCTCTGTGGTAAATATTTGTTGTTGTCATCATGGTGGTGGTGGTGGTGTGTGTCTGTTTGTATCTGTCTGTGTGTCTATGAGTGGTGGTGGTATGTTGTATGTTCTAATTCTCTAGTAACAGATAAATAGCCATAATGAAAGAATCTCCAGAATGCCTTCTTTAATTCACTTCCAATGGACAGACAATGGCTCTATTCCAGAAAAGACTGTTATCCTATTACAAGTTAGTAGTACTAGGGAAAAACACTGGAGAGCAGAATGAGTACTGAGTCATGATTATTCCGTGGTGCTTTCATTTTTTTTCCATTAACTCTGGTTTTCAGACACTCTTTACCTGTTTCTATTGATTGACTGGTTCATTTGCATTAGCGTAGAATTTCATCTCTCTGTTAAATCCAGCAGAAGGCAAAGTTATGTTCAGCTTAAGCTGTTTTTAAAACTGAAAATCCATTAGGACGTTAATTTTGAGACAGGAGAAAAAAGGCCTATTTGGGAGCTGTTTTCTGCTTGGTGTTTTCCTCTCCAGTCCCCTGCCATCTGAATTGACGATGCATGTGAGCCAAGATTTTCCAGTACACTGCTGTGATTACAGAGCTTAGCTTCCCAGTTTTCCGCTATGCTTGTTCATTAGCCTCATCACATTCGCTCTTGAGTTAGACCTCCTGTGGCATGAAGACTAAGCCAGGGACTAAGCAGGGGCAAATTAGCCTAATGGATTTATTCATTTTTTCCTAGTTTACATCACTGAAAAACTAAAAACATCTCTTGAGTTGCGAAGAGTGGGAAGCAAGTACTATAATTTTCTGTGTTTATTAATGGGTTGGAAGTATAATGCAGTGTTGTGTATCTATGGTAAACTAAGCGTTGGGTAATAAGGAACCATGGGACCTGCTGGGTATCATATTGAGAGTGTAAGTTAGTTATAAACTATAACATGACATCAGCAACTTAATGGCATGTGTCCCAAAGTTGGAACTGGTTCTCAGGAGGAATGATTTAGTGGAGAGGGCACTGGACTAAGAGTTAGAAAATTTCGTTCTGGGGTTGCATTGCTGCTTTCTACAGGTGGCTGTAAATTTCTTACCCTTTCTGGACCTCCGTTCCCCGAACTGTTTAAAGTAATAAAGGGGAAGGTTATAGAGTTGGACTAGTCGATCCTCAGGACAGCTAGGTGGTACAGTGGTTGGAACACTGGACCTGGGCTTAGGAAGACTCATCTTCCTGTGTTCAAATCTGGCCTCAGACACTTCTTAGCTGTGTGACCCTGGGCAAGGCACTTAACCCTATTTCCCTCACCCTTATCTGTAAAAATGAGCTGCATAAAGAAATGGCAAACTACTCTAGTATCTTTGCCAGGAAGATCCCAAATGGGGTCATGAAGAGTCAGACGCAGCTGAACCAACTGGACAACAACAACAAAGTTGATCCTCATCGCCTTTTTTGGCTCTGGGATTTTGTGATTCCTGTAGCTATACAACAGCCAAGTAAGTGAAGCTTGACTCAGGGGTGGGGAACTGTGGCCCTCTAGGTCTTCAGGTGCGGCCCTTTGACTGAAAAAAGCTTCACCTTAATAAAATCCCCTTAATAAAAGGGTTTGTTCTGTAAAACTTGGACTCAGTCAAAAGGCTGTACCCAGGGACCTAGAAGGCCACATGTTCCCTACCCCTGAGTCTTCAGTCTTCACTTACTTGGCTGTGGTATAGCTTCTTGCTTGCGTTTTGTAACCATCTCTGCTCATCACCCAAAGATGGCTCCTTGTTCCCTCTGGCTACCCACTCTGTCCAAATCTCCACAATGGCGGCCCAGTCAGGCCTGCCTTGCCAAGAAGTTCCCTGTTATCTGAAGAGACTTTTCATTTTGTTCCCCCAGTCCAAACTACTCTTCTTCATAGGCCTTGTTCATAGTTGGGTATTTCTGGGAAAGCAAACTCTTGGTCCTATTTTGAAGGCTAGTGTGTGATTGACTGACTGAGAGACACTTCAGATTCAGTATGTCTAAAACTGTCATCATTTCCCCCCTTCAAATGAGTTCTGCTTCCTGACTTGTGGGTCCCAAATGCAGCTGTTCTTTCTCTCCCATGATAGAAACTTGGAAGTCATTTTGCAGTTTAGTTCAACAGACAGTTATTAAGTAAGGAGCACATGCCCTGGGGATATGAAGATAGAAAACCAGTAAGCTGTCCCAAAGGTTGTACAGCTTCTTTTTCCTCCATTTCCAGTCAGTCGCCATGTCCTTTTCCACATCTTTCCAGTATTTCTCAGCTTCATTTCCTCCTTTCCATTCCCACGGCCATTGCCCTATTTCAGGCCCTCGTTACCTCTTGCCTGGACTGTGGCAATAAGTCTCCTAACAGGTCTTTCCACCTCTGGTTTCTTTCTGTTTTCTTCCTTTCTAAAAACCTGCTGCCAGGTGACTTTCCCTAGTGCGTGGGTCTTATTGCATCACTTTTCTGCCCCACTCACTCATTCCCATTAGAGAAAACCCATTCTCCTTAGCTTGGTGTCCAAGGCACACAGACTCTTGCTACTATTTACCTTTCTTCCCAGACTTATGTCATAACCTTTCACATTTTCTTTGCTCCAACCCAGCTGCGATTATTTTCTGCTCACATACGTTTTTGTCTGTGCTGTTCCTCATACTTAAGATGTCTCCTTTCCATTTCTGTCTGTTGAAAGACCTAGTTCAAATACCAATCTCCTTTGATACCTTTACCTCAAACTGTGGTATACATTTCCTTTGGAAAGGAGGAGAAAGATAGGAATCAGGAAAGATGCA